ATAAAGGTCTTGGAGAAATCAGGGATAACAGGAACATACCTCAACATAATAAAAGCAATATACAGCAAGCCAACAGCCAACATCAAATTAAATGGAGAGAAACTCAATGAAATTCCTCTAAAATAGCGGACAACACAAGGCTGTCCCCTCTCTCCATACCTCTTCAATGTTGTCCTTGAAGTTCTAGCTAGAGCAATAAGACAACAAAAGGAGACCAAGGGAATACAAATTGGAAAGGAAGAAGTCAAGCGTTCACCGTTTGTAGATGATATGATAATCTACATTAGTGAACCGAAAAACTCTACCAGGGAACTCTTACAGCTGATAAACACCTTCAGCAAAAAGGCAGGATACAAGATTAACTCAAAAAATTCTGTAGCCCTACTATATACCGATGATACATTGGTGGAGAAAGAAATCAGAGAAACATCACCCTTTACAATTGCCATAAACAACATAAAATACCTGGGGGTAACACTAACCAAAAAAGTGAAAGGCCTATACTATAAGAATTTTGAGTCTCTAAAAAAAGAAATTGAAGAAGATACCAGAAAATGGAAAGATCTCCCATGCTCTTGGATAGGTAGGATCAACATAGTAAAAATGGCAATCTTGCCAAAAGCAATCTACAGATTCAATGCAATTCCCATAAAAATCGCAACACAATTCTTCACAGACCTTGAAAGAACAATTCTCAACATTATAGGGAGAAACAAAAGACCCAGGATAGCCAAAACAACCCTGTACAATAGAGGAACTTCTGGAGGCATCACCATCCCTGACTTCAATCTCTATTGCTATAGTCCTGAAAACAGTTTAGTATTGGCATAAAAATGGACAGGTAGACCAATGGAATAGAGTTGAAAACCCTGATATTAACCCCCACACCTACGAACACCTTAATTTTGACAAGCAATCCAAATTTATATAATGGAACAAAGAGAACTTCTTCAACAAATGGGGCTGGCGTAACTGGTTGAGGAAATGTAGAAAACTGCAGATAGACCCAAGCTTATCATCTTGCACAGATCTTAAGTCAAAATGGATCAAAGACCTCAACATAAATCCAGCTACACTGAACCTATTAGAAGACAAAGTGGGAAATACCCTTGAGTTAATTGGTACAGGAGACTGCTTCCTGAACGTTACACCAGAAGCACAGACACCGAGAGCAACAATTAATTGATAAATGGGAACTCCTGAAACTGAGAAGTTTCTGTAAGACAAAGGACATCATCAGGAAGACAAAACGGCAGCCCACAGACTGGGAAAATATATTTACCAACCCCCACATCTGACAGATCTCCAAAATATACAAAGATCTCAAGAAGCTAGTCTCCAAAACACCAAACAATCCAATTAAAAAGTGGGGTACAGAACTAAACAATAGACAATTCTCAATAGAGGAATCTTAATTGGCTGAAAGACACATAAGAAAGTGTTCAACATCCTTAGCCATCAGGGAAATGCAAATCAAAACAACTCTGAGATACCATCTTACTCCTGTTAGAAGGGCTAAAATCAAAAACACCAATGACAGTTTATGCTGGAGAGGATGAGGAGAAAAGGGAACCCTCCTCCACTGTTGGTGGGAGTGTCAACTTGTACAGCCACTTTGGAAATCTGTATGGCGACTCCTTAACAAAATGGGAATCAGTCTACCACAAGATCCAGCAATTCCACTCCTAGGCATATACCCAAAAGAAGCACATTCCTACAACAAGGACATCTGTTCAACGATGTTCAGAGTAGCACTATTTGTAATAGCCAGAACCTGGAAGCAGACTAGATGCCCCTCAACCAAAGAATGGATAGAAAAAATGTGGTATATTTACACAATGGAGTACTACTCAGCAGAAAAAAAAAACAATGGAATCTTGAAATTTGCAGGAAAATGGATGGAATTAGAAGAAACCATTCTGAGCAAGGTAACCCAATTGCAAAAAGACAAACATGGTATGTACTCACTCATATGTGGATTTTAGACATAGAGTAAAGGATTACCAGCCTACAATCCACACTGCCAGAGAAGCTAGTAAACAAGGCAGGGGAGAGGCTTCCTTAAATGCCCTCCCCTGATAATGAGATTGATGACTATCTTATATGCCATCCTATAGCCTCCATATAGCAGCTGATGGAAGTAGAAGCAGATACCCACAACTAATCACTGAACTGAACTGGAACCCAGATTCAGAGAAGGATGAATGAAGAGCACAGGGGTTCAGACCAGGCTGGTGAAACCCACAGAAGCAGCTGACCTGAACATCGGGGAACTCTTGCTCCCCAGACTGATTACTGGAATACCAGTATGGGACGGATCCAGACCCTAGGAACATGGGTCTCAGTGAGGAAACCTCAGAAATCTACCTGACCTCCTGTAGTAGATCAGTATTTATCCCTAGCATAGGTGTGGACTTGGGGAGCTCATCCCACATAGAGGAATACTCCCTGAGCCAAGACACACGGGGGTGGGCTTCAGAGAAGGATGAATGAAGAGCACAGGGGTTCAGACCAGGCTGGTGAAACCCACAGAAGCAGCTGACCTGAACATCGGGGAACTCTTGCTCCCCAGACTGATTACTGGAATACCAGTATGGGACGGATCCAGACCCTAGGAACATGGGTCTCAGTGAGGAAACCTCAGAAATATACCTTCCCTTCTGTGGTAGATCAGTATTTATCCCTAGCATAGGTGTGGACTTGGGGAGCTCATCCCACATAGAGGAATACTCCCTGAGCCAAGACACACGGGGGTGGGCCTAGGCCCTATCCAAAAGGATACGATAGACTCTGATGACACCCTATGGAAGGCCTCACCCTCCCTGGGGAGCAGAAAGGATATGCGATAGGTAGGGTTTCAGTTGGGGGAGTAGTAGAGGAGGACGGGAGGGAGAAGGGAACTGGGATTGTCGTGTAAAACAATCCTGTTTCTAATTCAAATAAAAAAATCTGAAGAAAAAAGACTATCATTACCAATGCTCAGTATGATGAGCTATTAAAATAATTAGCTAGGGATATCTATTATGTTAATCAAGAACATCAACAGATTAGAAGTACTTGACAAGAGGATTTGTATTTAGATCCCCAGAACCCACATTAAAAATCTGGACTTGGCAACAAGTGCTTCTAAGTCCTTACTGCACTGTGTATGAAATGTCTACTCATTTGTTTAAGACAGGGTTTCTCTCTGTAGCCCTGGCTGTCCTGGAACTCACTCTGTAGACCAGGCCTGCTTCAAACTCCAAAAGATCCTCCTGCCTCTACCTCCCAAGTGCTGGGATTAAAGGCAGAAGGCACCATGCCCAGCTGAAATGTCAACATTTACTCAAATGTGTAGGCCTCGGATCACCCTCTTATGATCTGGCAACAGCTGCTTGGATGAAGCCCAAAGTAGCTTGCTTTCCCACATGCACCCTAGCTATTCATTATTGATCTGTCTTCTGATGTTGGTTCCTAGGAAGAATACAGAACAGACAATTCCATGAGTAGTAGTGCTGTTACTTGGACAAAGAAATTCAGCCTGGATTATTTGGCCCTGGACTTCAATTCAGCATCACCAGCCCCTGTGCAGCAGGTAGGAACAAATACCAGGTGATTTCACTTTTGCTTAGGTTTTTCTCCTTGGGTACTCTCCTTAGATCTTAGAAGTACATGTGAGCTTAGTCAAAATCCTAAAATTAACCTTAATCCTGACACCCAGAAAGAATGAAATCCCAGTATGTTTCCTTTAGGGCATTTTTTTCTGGGTGCCTGTGCACAAATACACATAATATTCATGCTCTTCTAATTTTGGGCCCTAAAAGTTATAGAAAATATCCACAGGCAGAGATGAGGGTGAGGCACACACAGGTTCTTGAGGCATAGGAAGGGTTTGTTTAGGGAACAAGTAATAGACTAGTCTATCTAGTTATTAAGGAATGGTGAAAGGCGCTCTAAGCTCAAGTGGATCTCAGTGAATGACCTTGAATGCAATTTCAACTCCATTGGGTAGTATTCTCCTTTATACAGTAGAGATCATAAATAACGCCACCCACATCAAGGACTGTGAGGATTGAGTGATAAATAAGTGATATTAGCTATTAACTGATATCACTCACTTTACAGCCTCATGATGATGGTATGTGAACATGAGATGGTCACGATTCACACACTAAGAATGTATTGCTTTGTGGATAAAAAGAAACCTATTGAACAGAATGTATAGAATGATTTCATTTGTGTGTCTCTTTGCATTCCCAAACACTGTTCTGGCATTGAAGAAAAGTCAGTGAGTGAGATTAGTGAGAGAAACAAGTAGAGATGGCACATTTATCAGTTTGAGTAAGCTATCCACTTAAAGCAGACAATTTCAGGTACTTATAGCAACAAAGGAACATTTAGCTATTGCTACCGAGAAAGACTATTGCAGGCCAGGGCTTTTGTGTTACAGTCTTCAATCTAGGGCTCTTGGCAGAGGAAAAGAAGAGAGACTGAATTCCAGGATGCTTCTACTTAGTGTCAGTATGCATCACTTCCATGTGCATCCTATTGATATAAGCAAATCAAACAACTAAAAAGATGCTTACAAACACAATACACAGTATCAAGTTTCTGTAGGGAGAAGAGGAAGCAAATTTAATCCTCCAAAGAACATTTAAATTAAGATGAAATTAAAACCTTTTTGTTCTCCCCCCTTCAGAAACTTCTTTCAGAAGAGCAGAGAGTAGACTATGTCCAAGTGGATGAGCAGAAGACACAAGCTCTCCAGAGCACCAAGCAGGAGTGGACCGATGAGAGGCAATCCAAAGTGTGAGAGGTGTGGGCTTGGGCAAAGTGTGCGACAGGGAAGCTTGGGAATATGCTTTTGTATGTATTGTTTCCTATCTTCTAAAAGACTTCAGAAGCTAGACCTAGCAGACACTATTGCTCTCACTTTAAATAAAAGAAAAACAAGAAATAGAAGAGTGAACATATTACCTAAGATCACTCACAGAATTGAGACACAATGTCAGGTTTATGTTGTCCAGACTGTCTATTGCAGTGTTATTCTTCTGCCTTATATTACCGCTGAGAAGTCTGAAGAAATACAACCATTGTGTCAGTCTCGGTGACCTGTAGGAAATGCCTGCAGACATAAGATGAACCATCACTTCACCTTTTCATGGCAATCTGTACATGTGCTTTTAGTATTTGAAAGGGAAACATTTCCAGTAAGGGGCTCTGTATGATGCTACAGTACCTTATGGAGGCCAGTCAGAAATACATTCTTGACCACATAGTCTCCTATGCAATCAACATATTTCTTTGCTTTGTGAGCTGATTGATGCTGGCAGGGAAATTTTTAGCACCTCAGGGAAGACATACATTGTTGCTAGTTTCCTTATGAAGGACTAAAGTTTTTAAGTGATAAAAAATGGCCAGAAAAAATATTTATTTATTTATTTTACATCTCGACTGGTTTCCTGACTGGTTTTCTCCTCCACTTGAGAAATGAATAAGTCCTGAGACTGAAATTTGCCCATTTCCTTTATGGTTCTGGAGGTTGAGGAACCCAAAACAAAAGTCTCAGTGGGAATGGAGTGTTAGTTAATTTTCTTTCTGATCTTTCAGAGCACTTACAGATAGAAGATATAACTGAACTGAGAAATTAACAGATCCAGCTCTGCCACTTCAGCCTTGCTACTGTGTCTTATATATGAAGATGGATCAAATACGCAGCCAGCTCTATGAGGATCAGTGTAGCCAGAGAAGATGTAGGCTTTGTCATTGGGTGTCAACATTTCACACTGCTTCAAACAAAAATAAATGGCAAAAGTATTTTTCATATCATACAAGAAATCATTTTAATTTTTAAAACAGAAGGCTGTGGATAAATCTCTTTTTTTCAATGTGGAAAATAGGGAAATTGTCAAGTACTTTAAACAAGTTCAAGGACCTTAATACACTTGGACCTCATATCCAGCCCCAAACCACAACACAGAGGTCAGAGCCTGTGAGGGGTTTCCTTCTTCTCCTTGTAACTGATAAACAATCACAGAAATCCTAAGCAGGAATCCAGGGTTGCAGACTGTCAATGCCTATAGATAGGAGCAAAGGTTTCCCAGGTATGAGATACTTGTGTTTGGATCCTTGATTACCTGGAAAAAGCTAGTGCAGAAAAATTATAACCCTAAAGGTCAAGAACCACACAAGGATGATGATAGAGGTTACAGCTGAAGTTGCCATCAGGGAATGTCCCACAATATACAAATTTTCATTTCTAAGAATGTATTTTCAGTATTAGTACATAAATAATACAACCCTTTCAGATATATTAAAAACAGGAGTTGCCGGGTGTTGTGGCGCACGCCTTTAATCCCAGCACTCGGGAGGCAGAGGCAGGCGGATATCTGTGAGTTCGAGGCCAGCCTGGTCTCCAGAGCGAGTACCAGGATAGGGTCCAAAGCTATACAGAGAAACCCTGTCTCGAAAAAACCAAAAAACAAACAAACAAACAAAAAACCAAAAAAAACCTGCAGTGCCCTTAGTAGGCACTCTTTTACAAGGTAAAAGATAACATCACTTATGCCCTGCTTTGATAAAATTGCTGAAGGATGGTTTCGTAAGAGCACAGTGAAACAAAGTACAAGGAATTTGTAAACTAGAAAGAGCAAATGCTCCAGGCTATGAGTCAAATGCACATGATTTAGTTGTACACTTAGCAGTGGGAACCTTCCTGAGAACTCTAGGAACCAATTTAATAGGACAGTGCTGTTATTAATTTCATTCTGTTTTCTGTAGCTCCTTTTTATTTTATTCCCAGTGCAGGATGGGGAATAGGAGGCCTTCAGCCTGCAAGTTGGGAAAGCCGA